CCCCAAAACCCCAAAACCCCAAAACCCCGTTTAACTGGGTTATAATAGAATTTAAAAAATGGAACCAAACAGCAGCTCTAAAAGCTCTGGCAAAGGAGATGACCTCATCGAAAAGGTATTTTATTCGGGATCTAAATTGTAGTTCTACCAAGATATGAAGAAAAACAACGCCATAGAGCTAGACTATCATGAAGAAGATAAGTTTGACGAGCAAAATCATTCAGGAACAGAGCAAAGCCCAGAAAGAGTCCTCAGCGTCGATTCTGATTTCGAAGATGAACACGAGGAAGAGACAAAGGAGGAACTTAAGATCGCTCATGGCGAATTCCAAGATGACAATAATGTAACCAGGTCTTATTAATTTATAGTATGATAATGTACTTCAAGAGATGATAGATTTAGTCGAGAATAAACCTAAGTTACCAGATCAGCAGTCATGGGAGGATGAACCTCCTGTAGAAAATCATATCGAGCTTTATTCAAATGAATACAAGCCGAAGAAGCGAAAGAAAATTAAGCTAGAACTTCTTGAGCCAATGACTAACCCAGAGTTCACAGTGTTGAACAGAGAGCATCCACATCCATCTTCTATATTTTGTAAAATTAGCAAAATTGATAAAGACTCTTTATACGATACTGTTGACAAAAAGAACAAAACTAGATTTTCGAATTTACCGAAGAAGGCACCTAAGGGAAACCTTCCTGTCACATTCCATAAGAAGATAAAATCTTCAGGATATGGGACTAAACCTGAAGCACTGAAATATAGCAAGACAAAGCAGAAGAAGAAGCCTGAGTCGAAGCTATTCGTCACTAGGGATTGATACACAGCTCCTTGCCCAGCAGAGATCCCTGAGGAGACTAGCTTTCTGTGTAAGAATCCAACCCATACAAAGCCTGTGACTAAGATCCAGTATAGTAATAATGGAGGCTTATTGGCCTCTGCTGGGCTAGATATGACTATTTCGGTGCTAAAAGCGCCAACATTCATGGACAGTTATAGTACTTCAAACTTCTCTGGTCATGATGCTCGAGTAAATTCATTAGATTTCTCAACCAAAGATGAGTACCTTCTTTCCTCATCAGCTGACAAATCAGTAGTAATGTGGTCAATCGACTTTAAGAGAGGAAAGAAAGCTCTAGTGATCAACAGAGTCAACAGTAGCCTTTCTGATGATGCCAATGCTTATAAAAAGAAGGCTGAGAAGGAGAACCCTGAGTTTAAACATGAGATCAAGAAGGCTGCCTTTTACTACAACGACAGATTTGTCACACTTTGATCAGGAAATTCATTGTATTTTAACATTTATGAACTTTCTAATAAGAATTGTAAGGATGACATCAAGAGGCTCCAGTCTAAAGGAGCTTACAAGATGGTGCAGAAATATGAAAATCCTGAAGCCCACAGCATTGTGTCTTATACCCTTCATAATGACTTGAAATCACACTTATGCATCTTGGGTTGCTCAAATAAGGAACTTATAGTGTACGATGTGAACTACAATAAAGAAGTCAGCTCAACTTTTGATAGTGAAGGAAATCAGATTACTTCTGGATTCCCTGATCTTCATGATAAAATGATCCATACTTTGGAATTTTTCAAGGGAAATAACAGAGATGATCCAAACTGTTACAACCTGTTTATGACATCAAGTACAGATAATTTCATCAGGGTATGGGACATCCGAAGTTGCCAGCCGGTCAGAGAGTTCAATAGCCATGTTAACAGAGGGAACCCCATCGGATGAGGGATTTCAAATTGCCTTAGATACCTTATAACTGGCTCTGAGGATCGAGCGGTCTATATCTATGATTTAGGTCAAGGAAAACTCCTTGAAAAGACAAAGAACTCGTAAGTTAACTTTTCGTAACTAACTTTTAGCGATCATCTTGATAGCGTCTGAGATATCTCTATAAACCCTAATTATTATGAATGGGCAACAGGATCATATGATGGACATGTCAGAGTTTATAGACACCCATCTAAGAAGAAAAAGGCAACTACAAAGAATTATGGAGGTGGAGGCATGAGGACCTCCAGCGCTGCTCAAAAAGCTCCCAAGCAAAGGACCTCACACCAAGCTACAAGAGTGATGGATCGGGATGCATGGTAGAATCTGATAATATCTTAATCCGGCGTTCAATTCTAGGCACAAATTTAGGGGTTTTGGGGTTTTGGGGTTTTGGGGTTTTGGGG